CTCCTGAGCCTGCAAAAAGTCTTTAATTCCTGACCAGTTAGGTTGGTGCTGGCGGACATCCCAGACGGCAAGCTCTTTGGCGATCCGTTGAGGACCGCCAGGTTCGACGAGCATCCCGCACATATCCATAGTCTTGATGATGTGGCGGCGAACTTGCCAGTCCTGCATCATTGAAAGGACCAGGCACCAGGTGTCAACGTTCGGTGCGCAGCCATTCCCGACCATCAGGGAAATCACCCTGTCAAAGTTTCCTAAATCCTTGACGACGATGGTCCCCTTCAAGAGTATGTTGAAGACTTCAGTGTCCAGAGGCACCCCCAGGTTGCACATGCTGCTGAACAGATCGCGGGCATGGTGACGATACGAGTGGCCGTGAACCTCTACTGCCTGGAGAGCCACTTTGAAGGCTCGTGTCGATAACGCATGGCGTGCGGTAACATCTTTGAACGTGTTGCAGAGGAGATCAAACGCCGCGGTCATCGCTCCGACGCCCGAGCCGTAAAAGCGCTGCGCAAGACGCGGAGATAGTTTTGCTTTTGCAATGGCCGCAACGTAAGCCTCGAATGTCTGAGGAGTCCATATGATTGGCTTGGGAATCTTCTCAAACGGGGTCTCCAGCGTGTAGGTATTTATCCTCGAAGGCCGCTGGGCTTTGTATAGACTCGACCACACCATGAGCATCGATTCAGGACTAGGAGTCTGTGACGGGTTGCTGCTAGTGACGACCACTTCACTGCCGAATTTACCGGCAACTCGTCTCACCTCGGCGATAGCGTTTGCCATGCCCCTGTCGTCTCCCGAGAGGAATAAAATGGGTCTCGCCGAAGATGACTTTTCGCCCTTCAATTTCTTCCATGGGACCCAATGTAGCTGAAGATGACATCTTGTTCTCTCGTGGATATCCCAAATGGTTTGATCGGAGTTGTAGAGAAGCGCCATCGCAACGTCTTCGCAAACCGAGATTTTGCGCGCGCATTCTTGCCAAGGCCCCTTGATCGGCCGAGTCCATCGCCTCAGAACTTCCAGGATCGAGCGCCAATTCCCGACAGGTTCTTTCTTGATCTCTCGAATAGCCTCCAGCCGCGACTGTCTTGTCAGGCTCCGGTGATGGCGATTGAGACTGGACATGGTCTCGCGAGGAGACTTGTATCCGATAGGGCTCTCTACAAGAACCGACTCGTGCTTCCGCTGTACTGGTGACGTGGGTTGGCGTCGCCCTCTTGCTTTCTGTTCCAAACCCTTCGACCCGTTCTCAAGGGGGCCATGCCGTCGGTCTGTAGTCCTCCTCCAGATACCAGTTTGACTTGTCTTGAGGGGTTCATTTCGAATGGGCAAGACTTCCCGGAAGTTCGCGTCTCGAGTCGAGGACAGGCCATATCGAGTGTTCGGCTTTGATATTGTCCCATCTCCAGCTGGTATGTCGAAAGCCCGATCACCGCTCTCGGTCTGGAATTTCTCTTCGGTCCGTCCTTTGGGTGCAAGGGTCCCAGCTTCAACCACTGAGGCTCCTTCAGTCGCATCCGGAGCAGGATCGGCAGTCTTTCGATCGATGATTTCGCCCGCTTCCTTTGAGTCAGAAGAAGGGATGGTCTCGTCGAGGTTCGGCTTCACTGCAGCTCCGGAAGCTGCGTGGATCCATCGATACGAGGGTGGTAGTGGTTGAGCTATAGGCGCCCGAGACCATCTTGGAGGACCCCTGGGAATCAGAGATATTCCAGAGACGCCGGTGCGGTACAATCGGGCTCTCCATGCTTGTGCGATTCCCAGGGACATTTGCTATGAGTGGCCCATGGTGTGTGCTGGGCTGGCGATTCGCGTTGAAATTTGGAAAAAATGGCTGGAGAGCGACGTCGCAGGCCAGCGGGAACGAGGAAATTTCCACTCGCGCCGATTGAACCCGGCCCCGTTGTGCAGGAGCCACCGGCCGCCGATACGCAGCCGCGGACCTTCTGCGCGAGTTCTTAAAAAAACAGTGTAGGCACTGTTATCCACACAGTCGCACCCATGAATCTGCTTCAAGTCTAGTTCATACAAAATAAACTACCTAGATTTATATAGAGACGGGTATACAAGAAAAGAATAGCTCTTCATCTCTCTTGGCGTCTTCATTACTTGTTGGGCGTCACGGGTAATGCCCCTGAATTCGCATGCGCCGGCCCGCTCTGATCTACGCCTTGCCAGCTCTGGTTCCATCCTTCGCCCTCTTCGACAGCGTGCGTTGCTTCGCCGTTCTCAGCGAGTCCTTTCACGTCGCTCCAATAGGATAACTTCTTCACTTCCTCGTCGGCATGCTTGATTGCGGCTTCAAGGTGCTTCCTCCTCTCCTCTAGCTCCCCTGATTCGTCTTCTTTTCCGTCTGTTGCGACATGCTCATCATATATCTTGGTCAAATGACTGAGCAACAGTCTCCTTGAGGCTTGGAATACGAAGATGCCCATAATATCGTGCATTTCATCCTGCAAGTGTTCGAGGTTGTCTTTGGCATGCTCGAGGTAGTTCTCAACGGCTTCGATCTTTTCTCGGTCGATTCGCGCGGCCCGCAGGACTGCCATCAGCGTCCACACGTCTTCGATGTCGGGTTTCTCCTCCGCTATGCTCGTCTGCATGCTCGCCTTGCTGATGCTTTCCCGACGGCTGCCAACACTAGAGGCGCGGCTGTGATTTGCAGGCGTGACGGTGAAATAGTCGTTGTTGAGCATGTGCGGGTCTTCAGAGACATCCTCGGGCTTCTTCTTGACTCGCTTTCGAACCCAGGCTCTCCTACGCACGAAAGAGTTCCACCATTTCGGACCATGCCACGAGAACTTTTTGGAGAACATGAACGAATATTCCCACCCAAACTCGTCCATTTGAACGCCTTCTTCTCGATGTACCCTCCACTCCGGCCACGCCCACTCCCACGTCGGGTCAGGGACTTGGGCCGTCTTAATGGTCGTTGGACTTGTCTTATGGAATTGGTTTGTCCAAGGAGAGGGATCGAGGTTGCCCAAGGCCTTGCCAGAGAATAGAGGAACTCTGCAGCAAAAACAGCCTCTCTCATTCTCCCACAATACGTCTATTGCAGATTCTCGCTCTGCTGTCGATGGTCGCTCCCTCCGGCCGGCATCTCTTATAGGTATTGGGGCTTCGTGTGGCGTAGGTTCTAATGGCAAGCACATTCAGTTCTTGATACAATCGAGTAGAGACCTCCGGGGGTGGCATACCTTCGACTTCAATTGATGGTGCTCCAGTACCCGCTGCGGTCTGGGCAGTTAAGACTGGGATCTTCCGCCGCTCCCTGGCTTGAGATAAGCGACTAGGTCCTCGACTTGATGCATTCCGAGATGAAGCGACCTCGTCGTTCCCATTTCTGTCCACGTCACGGTCCGTTCCGTTGCTCAGATTGTGCTCTTCTTCTTCTTGATCTTCATCGCGAAGCAGTCGTGACCCAGTCGATGCTCGGGTCACGTCATTGGGGGTTTCTAGGCTGGGCGAGGCAACGCGGTCTTCGTGGTTAACTAAGTTGATCTCGTGGTCGTAGTCACTGTCCTTCAGGCCGGTAACCCGACGAGAACTTCGGAACGATGGCATCTCTACGGCCAAAACCGCCGGGGCCAGCGGTCAGAAAGCCCGGGGTTGAACAAAACCCCAAGGCGAAGAGGCAGCGTTCGATGCAAGAAGCCTTTTCGGGGGTTCGTGTGGGGAACAGGAGACAGGCTAGGCGTGATTCGAGACGGTTCTCGCAACGCCGGTGAGCGAGCGGTCAATAGGGAGCTGGACAGGAATGTTTCGAACACAGGGAGAGGCGGCCGTGCGAATCACTCGACCATTGTGTGTTGAATCGAAGGCGAGTCGAATTATCTCCAGACACCTCGTCTAGAGGATGGGAGGTGAACAAGACTGGTAAAATAGTAGATGAGGCTGTTTAGGGAAATCAATGGAGACCTCGCGCGTCCGGACCTAGCGTGGGCTGGACCAAGACGACGACCACCTAGCAGTGGCCAAATGTGGCTCAGAACAAGGCTAGTACGATGCAGGAGCAGCAATGCGGCGCGTCGGTGGTGCTTGCTGGTTGGAGGTCTGGGCCAGCTGAATCTGGGCTGGTTCTGGCTCAGGCCGGTTCACGAGCTCCAGCTAGGCCGGTCCAGGCCACAAGGGTATGAAAGGGTGTGTGTCGCGTCCCAGAGGTCCGTCGATGATGTAATGTCCCAACTTTCTCTCCAAGCAACGAGCCCCCTTGGCGTCAGCTTGCGTGCCGGAACCCAGCCAGCTCAGACCGTCAAGCGTTGTACTTCGGTGCTGCGTCGAACCAAAGACTTGAGCAGGCAGCCGTTCGGCCGGTGAAAGCGTCCGCTGCGGAAGCTGGTATTGCTCCAAGAGGAAATCGAAATCCCCCTCTAGAAACCGACAGCTGATTCTCGGAGCTTTGATGGCTGCAAGGTGACACTGGGGATCCAGTGGAGGCCATTCTGCAATTGTGATGCAGTCGATGAGGTACTTGCAGCTACCTAGGCCGCCACTTATCACGGTGATGATGAAAGTACTCTCTGGTCCCTTCTGAAAAAGAGGGCCTGTGCGGCCTGTCATCCCGAACGCCAGTGGAGCTCCCGGCCAGGACCGGCTGGGGGTAGCTACCTTCGATTCCCCGCATTCATGCCGCTCTACGTCATGTATCTCTCACACCTTCACCAAACTAGAGCCTCCTGAGCTTGAACCTGTGCCTTGCCCAGGCGACGAGCTGTCACTGGTGTGATCGCTAGGAGGGGGAAGGATGTAACCGCGCAGCAAATACTCAGACGACTAATGAGACAATGGCAGCAGCAATACCGGCCTGGCCCGTGAATTGGTAGTACTAATAGATCGTGCCATCCATCTCTGCGAAAGCTCCCGTTTCCTCTCTTCTTCTTTCCCTTCAATCAATCACAGCCCATAATCTCAACGACAATACTCTTGATATCGCCGAGAAAGTCCCAAAACTTTGAACCAAATCACCTCGATACACGCCACGCATCACGGTCAACATGTCCAAGTCCAAGGCCCCCCTCTTCCTCGGTCTCACTGCCGCCGGTGGTGTCGGTTACTACCTCTACAGCGCGGGCGGCAACCCCAACGCTGCCGAGAAGAAGTTTGAGAGTACGTGTATTGCAGTCTTATACTTCATGCGTATGGCCATGGAACAATGACGCTAACCGTTACGAACAACAGGCGACGTCCACAAGGCTTCTGCCGAGATCAAGTCACACATCCCTGGCCGCACTCCAGACGCCCAGAAGGGCTTTGGCGATGCCGGTGCCCGCGCCGGCGCCAGAATCGACTCTGCTGTACGTAATACGACGTCAATCAATAGCTGAGGTACAAGCCTAATATTATTCCTCACAGGCTGCTGAGGCAGACAAGCAGTTCTCCTCTGCAAAGAGCACCGCCGAGGCCTACGCCAAGGATGCTAAGGCTGAAGCCCTGAAGAAGATTGACCAGTTCGACAAGAAGGTCGAGGATGGCACTGCCAAGGCCAAGAGCGGCGTCTCCAGCTGGTTTGGCGGAAAATAAGCACTCTTACGAATGACGATTTCTTTTGTGTTATGACCTTCGGGTCACTTGTTACAATAGGGCCGGGTTCAATTATCTCAGGGTTAGGAGTCTCGTGACATGAACCAATTCTAATACTTTCGACTCAATTTTTCGCTGTCCCATGCTCTAATCGTCATGTCCCGTATGCGCCTACTTATCTCGGTAACATAAACCTGCCCCGGCCACTTGGGAAATTATTCGATACAAGTATAATACACACCTTATTTCTCTATGCGATCCGCCACAAGCTTCAAGATTTCCTCGGTTTCTTTTCTCGCATTCTGAGGATGCTTGGCGATTGCCTGCCAGTGCTCGCCGTGGCGAGGCTCGTTGAGGACGCACTTGTTGATGACATCCGCTCGTTTCTCGTCTGTACCGTGCTGGAGCAAGAACTTGTAGTACCATGCCCAGCTGTCGCCGTTGTCGCTGTCCAGAACCAGCGCTTTCTCGAACCAGTTCTGGGCCTTCTCGAGCTTGCGCTCGCCCCAGAAAATCCGGGCGACGGCAACAAAGAGGATCGGGTCGTTGTCCACCTTCTTGATGGCCTCCAGAGACCGCGGTTTCCGCTGGGTTCGTGGCTCCAAGTGCCAGATTTGCTCGCTCCACAAGAGGCCACTCTTCGGGACTTCTTGAAGAGCCTTGGCCATGAGGGACTTGGCCTGGTTGATGTTGCCTGCCCGCCGCTCGATGCGGACGGACTCGCACCACAACTCTGGGGACTTGGGAACCGCCAGACGGGCTCGATCGAGGACACTGCGAGCCTTGACAACAAGGCCAGCGTTCTCTTCCAAGCGGGAGTAGAGGAGCCACAGGGGAATAGACTTGGGAACAGCCTTGACACCGGTGCTGTAAGACTCCCGCGCCTGGCCAATCTTGCCAAGGTCCTCGTAGATTTGACCCTTGAGCATCCATAACTTCGCCGCGCCAGGGAAGTATTGCAGAGCTCGTTGGGCGAGGTCCAATGCTGCCTCGCTGTTGCCCAGCACTCTCTCGAACACCACACTCTTCATCCAGACACGATCCGTGGGCGCCTGTTCGCGAGCTTCCTCCAAGAGCTTGCGCGCCCGTTCTGTCTCTCCGTTTTCGGCCTCGAGCTTAACGGCAGCAAGCCAGATATCTTCGTTATCGGGGTTCGACTTGAAAGCCCTGGCAAGAACAAGTCTGGCATTGTCAACCTCGCCGGCCTGCCACTTCTCCTTGGCCAGCATCATCCACAACACCTCACTCTTGGGGCAGGCCTCAACAGCCTTCTCCAACACCTGAGCGAGGGACTCTTTGGTTCCGTGATTCCTTTCCAGGTCGGCGGCGGCCATCCAAAGCGTCTTGCTGTTGACGAAAACACGCAAGGCGTAAGAGTAGATGGCACGGGCTGTTTCGTACATGCCGCGGTTGATGCTGCTTTTCGCGTCTTCCATCCAGGTTTCCTTCCGGTCGTCGTCCTCGTCCAAGCCGTAGCCCAAGGTTTCTTGGATGATGTTTCCGCAGGTGATTATAGCGCCCTCATCCTCGCACTTCTCAGCCTCGCCGATCCACTCCTCTCGCTTCGGCATGGCAGACTCCTTGACGAGAACTGCAACAGCACGCTTCATGACGTTAACCTTCTGTCCTGTGCCGAGCTGCTCCTGCAGACGGGCAGCAGCAATCCAAATCTCATGGGATGTGGGAACTGCTTTTCGTGCCCTGTTGAGGACCTTTTGGGCGTTCTCTGGGCTCTCCAGTCTTGCCAAGGCCAACCAAAGATCAACGGAAAGGGGTATAAGCTCAGTTGCCTTGGCGAGCAGCAACCGCGCATCTTCCGGATCTTCTTCCAAGTTGACCGCTTCCTTCCAGAGAGCCTCAGATTCTGGGATGTGGTCCAGAGCAAGTCGGATGACTCTCTTCTTCGCTCTAGGTTCATTCTCCAGCCTCATCGCCTCAACCCAGAGTCGCACCGATCGTTCATTCTTCTTGATGGCATCCGCGGCGATAATTTTAGCGTTGCGACCTTCGTTCAGTCTAATGTTCTCCAACCAAACGTCCTCGCTTTTGGGGCAATTTGTGCATCCACGTGCAATCACGTTGCGCGCCGCGACAGTCTTGCCTGCAAGCTCCTCCAAGCGTGCTGCCGCAATCCAACCCGGAGCATTATTCGGGTTAGTCTTGATGACCGAGGTCAAAAGCTCGCGCACTCGGTTGATGTCACCAACTTGCGCCTGAGCTTCCGTCAGGCCACTCTTCTGTAGACTGGTGATGTAGCCCTTGGGGTCGATGCTCGTCGCGCTGCCACCAACGGAGGACTCCGTTCCATCCAGAGATGCCTGCTCAAGCTTAGACTTGAGGACCTTGTCTCTCGCCGCACCGATCTTGGCGAAGTTCGTCATGGTTCCGTCCGCCGCCTCTGAACTTGCAGCTGCCCCGTCATCGGAAATGGTGGTCCCGAGCTCTCCCTGGGCGCTGGCTCCTGCAAGAACACTATCGGGAACGGCGTAGAACCGCTGCTGTCGCATTTGTTTGCTCCGTCTATTCTTTCCGGTCAAATCTCCAACCTCGGGCAGGTTCGCCCACTCCTCGTCCGATACTGTTGACAGTGCTCTCTTCAGGTCGGCAAACTGCTGTTGAATCTTTGGGTTTTTGCGCTCGTATTCTTCTTGCTCGGCTTTCTCGCGCGCCTCTCGTTGTTTCTGTCGCCTCTTGGCCATCTTCTCGTCTACCTCTTTCCATATCCTGTCGGCTTCCTCGTCGTCTTTGTCGTACACTCCGCCAGCGAACAAGCCGACTTCGTTATCGGGGTCTTTGAATCGATCGTCGTCATTGTCATCATCCGCTTCTTGCTTTTTGCCATCGGCACCGATGCCTAGTTGCGCCGCGCGCTTGGCGACAGCCTCCTTGATCTGGTCTTCGCTGGGCCCTTCGCGTGCAGGACCCAAATCTGATCGCGTCGTGAAGCCCGTAGCACCTCGACCGAGACCGGCGACGTAGTTTTCGGGAGCCGGCTGGCTCAAGAAATCGCGGCGGCTGGCCATGGTATCAGATGCGCTATGCGTAAATCGTTGTCGCGTGAGTGGTTGCGGATGCGCGCGACAGGACGTGTATGTGCAGGAAGGCAGATATAGCTGCAGCCCATAGCTAGGGGAGATAGGCGCAAGGCTGAAGTGGTGCCAATTTTTTTTCCCTTCAGGTACCTTAAGCTGCTGCACCCTTGTCGCCACGGCAAAGTGGTGGGGTGGCTCCACTAAATTTTCCAAAAAGGCTGCCCCTCCATCTTCACCGCAGACTTCGACATTGCGAAGATTGAGGCAGCATACTGCAGAAGCCAACTGCCGCGCATAACCCCGCGAACCCTCCTCGAGCTTCGAAACGGTCTTTATGCGAAATTGAAAACATTTGCGCGAGCACGAGAACAACATGGGCAAGGCCAATGCCGGAAAGCGCAATGCCGCCGGGTCGGGGAGCCCCTACTCGCGACCAGGAAAATCCAACAAGACGAACAATGTGTTCAAGTTCAACGTACGTAGAGTGCTTTACGGTGTGCAAGCTTCAATTCTGACGCTATTTTCAGACCAATGTAGGCCAGCATATCCTGAAGAACCCTGGTGTTGCGGACGCGATCGTCCATGTACGTGCCGAGCCCCCGACGGAAAAGAAAGACAGGAACTTTGCTGAACAATGCGCCTTAGAAAGCCGAACTGAAGCCGACGGACACTGTTCTCGAAATCGGTCCTGGTACCGGTAACTTGACTGTGAGGATATTGGAGAAGTCAAAGAAGCTCATCGCGATCGAGTTCGATCCTCGTATGGCGGCCGAAGTCACGAAGGTTGGACCTCTCGCTCTCGTAACGGTCTTCGGGGGCTGACAAGACCATATGTAGCGTGTACAAGGAACGCCAGAGCAGCGCAAGCTCGAAGTCATGCTCGGAGATGCCATCAAAGTCGACTGGGTTCCCTTTGACGTCCTCATTTCCAACACCCCCTACCAGGTATGCCGTGGGAATTCCTGGGCTAGGGATCTAGAAGCTAAACATCAGTCAGATCTCATCTCCTTTGGTTTTCAAGATGCTCGCCATGCCCAAGCCGCCTCGTCAGGCAATCCTCATGTTCCAGCTCGAATTCGGCCAGAGACTGGTGGCGAAGCCGGGAGACAAGCTCTACGGCCGGTAGGTTTTCCGCTGCAGGTTGGCTTTGGATGCATGACTGACAGTCCGATCAGATTGAGTGTGAACGCCAACTTCTGGGCGACATGTTCCAACGTGATGAAGGTTTCAAAGGCCAACTTCAGGCCACCGCCGCAAGTCGACTCGTGCGTCGTTCGTATTGTGCCCAAACAGGGAGCCGAGCGCCCTACCATCAGCTTCGAGGAGTTCGACGGCCTCCTCCGTATCGTAAGTCACAGGAGAGGATTTCAACACATGGTCGTGGCTAACGATGTTTCACAGTGCTTCAACCGCAAGAACAGGACTATGCGTGCAAGCTGGCTCGGCACCAAGGAAGTTCTTCAGATGCTCGAGAAGGTAAGTCGCGAAAATGGACTACGTCGCTAGACTCTATCTAACGCTGCAACAGAACTACCGCACGTGGGCTGCTTTGAACAACGTTCCACTCGACGAGACCTTTGTCGAGGACGACGAAGACGATGCTATGGACATGGATGACGACGCTGACGCCGGTGGCGACGATGATGATGTCGAGCCCATGGACGATGATACCCCGGAATTCTTCAAGGAGCTCAAGGCCAACGCGGCCAAGGTCCCCGAGAAGACCAAGAGCAAACGCAAGAAGACCAAGGTCGCCGCGCTCGTTAGGCAGAAGATTGAGGGTGCGCTCGTGAGCACCGATCTCCTGGACAAGCGTGCCCGCGCTTGCGACGAGACGGATTTCCTGAAACTTCTATCCGCCCTCAACTCTGAGGGCATTCACTTTGCTTGATTTTGGTCTAGGCCTTTTGTGTCGTATATGGTAGATACGGATTGTTGACGGCATTTTATGGCCTGGCGTTCATGGCGTACAAAAGAGACAAGATATCCTGCAGGGTATGAATATAGAATGAAGATACTGGTGCCTGGAGCTACCTCTGCCGCATCTCATTAAGCTGCTCTGATTCTACGTATGAGACAACCTTTAGGCACCTTTTTTTTATACGATGATTATCAGTAGGTGTGCTCAACATCGAAACCGATTAGTCGAAGACGGCAGAGCAACTCCACATGGCTATGCGGCACTCTTCCCTAGAAGCTGTCGCCGAGACCAATGACGTCCATCAGGAAGATTCTCATGGCACCAATAACACAACGTACAAAAACACACAAAAGTCCCACGAGCCTCTAGAGTAACCACGTGCTCATGGTGAAGACATGCCACACAGTCGGACATGAGACACCGATCTCAGTCGTCCAAGGAGGAACGACGTCAATTTGAGACGAACATCCCGCTCAAGATGCTCCGGACTGGAACAAAGACACAGAAAGAGCCTCATCTTGCGGATTGGGATTCCGATTCCACCAACCCCAGACCGAGGTCGACCGAGGCGCCTGCGTGTGACCGTTCCAGCTTAGGCAAGAGATCTTCAACGGCCAAGGCTGTTTCTGTTCCTAAATGAGGTCGACGGGTAAAGGAGTCTCAACGGTCATCGATCCATCACAATGCGAAGCTGGCTTTGATTGGGCAGGCCCAAGGCATCGACTGTGGTGAGCGGTGGCCAGTAAAGGGGCGGTTGATTAAGCCGTGACAAGTTCGGACATGATGGATGGAATTGGCAGTTGCATCCTTCCCAAAAAAAACGCCTTCTCTGCCCTTCACATTTTTGGTCCCGACTCCCGTTAAATCCGTCAAGGGCAGATTGGGCCGATGGGGAGGTGAACAAGACCAGAATGTCACCCTCCGCCCCCGTTTTGGGTGCAACGCAGCGCTTCCCTTTCGCGTGTGCTGCCCTACCCGCGTCCTGGGGGAGCGGCAGCACCGCCTCCCGGATCTCAGGAATAGGGCATACGGAATACACATGGCACTTGATTGACTGGTCGGTCCAACATCGCGTGTAAAACCGGGAAAGCAGGCGCAAGAGACGTGAATTGTCAGCAGAGGCGCGGGAAAAGGGGGAAGTGGGAGGAGGGGCTTTGTGCATGCGGTTTTCTCGAAATGAGACTTGACAGACCATCATCCATCCCACTTTGCTCAAGAGCTTGGGGAAAAAAGCAGCAGTACCTTGCTGCGGTCACTTAGGCAGAAGGCTACATGATGACCACCAAATTTGACCTGCCTCGCTTACCCGCGTGGCCTCCCTCCCGCCAGCGCATCGCGACGAGGCCGAGCAAGGCTCGTCCCATCTGACAGGCGCGGGCGAACCAGGAGGGTGGTTTGGGTGCGTGTGGGTAATGACAGGTCCAGGCAGTCTCCAGTGTGTCATTGTCGACCAGATAAAACAAAATGAAAAATCTACCTGTCGAAGAGTGGCACGTCATGCCACTGCCCATGTAGCTGCTCTAGCTCGCTGTTCAGGTTCCATCCTTCACCCAGCCTATAGACTCCCGGGTTCCTGCGCAGATGATCACCGCCCAGCAACGGCGCTGACGCGCAAAGGGGGGTCGAAAGACATCGAGACTGTTATCACGCGCGGGTGGAGGGACTCCCAAGATGGACGCAGTTTGACGTGGTATGTCTCTGACAGTTGTACGTGGGGGCCAAGTTTGCAGGTGTTTGCCAAGAGGCTTGCTCGACAAGTTTCGACGGGCAACAAGAAGAGACACGGGAGGCACTGGAGACTCGTTTCGTTCAAGAAACGTCTGATCGGTCGCCTTTCTCTCCCCCCTTGGAACTAAAGAAGTTGACTGGTCGAAAGCCCGGCTGGGAATTCCCGTCGCGAAAGTGCTCACCACCTCGGCACCGTCGCACGGGAGTGTAAGACTTGCCAGCCAGCCAGCGGGACGGCCAGCCCTCCCCGAGAGTCCCTTTTGGGTTGGTGGTGGAATGTTACAGCGAAATCTGACATGCCTCCCTTTCTTCCTGCGCCTGACTGAGCCACACTCTGCTCCCGCAGGTCGCTCTGTGCAGGAGATAAATCCTTTGAAGCGCCACCGCAGCATGTACTTTCTCAGCGGTGTCGTCGCACAGCAGCATCAGATGCCAGATGAGCCGTTCGCCGGGATTCGGTGCTGAGAGCTGCCGGTGAGGCGCCTCGGTCTGGCTGGGCAGGGAACGGGGACCCGTTTCCTGTCACTTTCTTTGCGGGGACCACCGACGACCCATCATACGACAGAGTCAAGCTCTCTCGAGGCTAAGGGCCTTTGGGGATAGGCGTCGATGAAGAGGGCACCAGGAACGGTCCCGTCAGGATGGGCCGAATCCTGTCCCGGTGCAACGATCGCGGCCATCGTTGAGAAGGGCTGAATAACCATGAGTAATGAGTAACGTGAGACGACCTGAAGAACGGCGCGGTACCTATTACTTCGTAGGTAGCGGCAGCGGCCCCGTCTCCGTCGGTCGCCTTCCTGGGCGTACTTTAGGTAATGTGTGTGCTGCCCGGCCCCCAAACGGAGGGATTCAAGGGAGATGGGCAGCAGCCAATCGTCCGTCGCGTTTGCGTCCAATAGGCCGGTACCGTCGGGATAGTGTCTGGGAAGTGCAGGTAATTGCCTCGTGGGCGGGTGGGTTCGTTGTGACATTCAATCGGGGGGCCGGGGGCCGGCGCCCTTCTTCGTCTTCTTTTCGCTTTGGGAATGTCTTGGATTTTCCAGAACCCAAGTTGGCGGCCCCCTCCCTAATCAGAGCCCAATGTCGGGTGTGCAACCAGTCGCGTGCTTGCCACGTCGTCCACTTGGCCGCCTGTGAGAGGCTGTAATTAGGAGAGGGAGACGACTTTTCGCCCGTTGACTCGCAGCTTTCTGTTCAAGAGCAGGGGCTTGTTGGCAGACATACTGCGCAGACAGAACGGGGACATGCGGTGTCGAGACGGACGTGATGATATGCAAGACAGGCAGCAGCAGTTCGCTTCGAATGGGGTTAATAGTTGGTTCCCCATATGTGGGCGTTCAGAACCCTTGTGGTCTCTGGTCAACGAAAACTAGGGGGGATGCAGCGAACCGCGAGACAGGAGGCCGGTCAGAGTCATCTCGAGGCGAGGTGAAGTGCCCCTCAACAAGCCAGGCAGGCCGCCAGGCGGCCAGAATATCACCGTAAAGAGGGGATCAAGTGAGTGAGCGCTGTCGGCCTTGTCTAGCAGCTAGGTGTTGAGAGGGTTGAGCGTCCGGATGCGGCCGGCGCCATGATCCCTTGGTTCATCATGAGGGCAGGAGTTTGTGAGTTGTGCCTGCGCTTGACAAGGGTTAGAGTCTCGGTAGACAGGCACCAACTTCTGTTTGTCTCTGCTAGGGCCCGGGACCAGTTCCACGTATCAGCCTTTGATTAGTGTGTCGACTGAGTTGCCCGAGATGGTGTGTCTTCAGTCGGCATGCGAGCTTGTCAGATCGCCAACAAGACCCAGCCGTGCAGCATGCCTCGTGACTGCGGGATGCGTCCACGCAGTGCCTCATCGTCAGCCTGGTTGGCAGTTGCAAAAATCCTTACCGAGTAGATGATACACTCAGCGACAGCGAGATGGCAGCATTCAAAGGGTACCTCTTAGTGACATATTTTGTGCCACGGTACCCATATTATGGGAAAACCCGCATGTTGAAGCAGACGACGCAGGATATTACTGGTGTTAGTGCGGGAGGCAGACCTCAGTCCCAGCTGCCAGGTTCGTCGTTCCTGACTAAATACAGCCGCTGACAATCATACTTGTGACAGAGCTGATATCACATCAAATCAACCAGAGAGATCGAGATTTTGGAATGGGAGAAGAGGGACAAGAGTGGCGGTATCGATAGGTCCTCAGCATCCCTGGATGGGCAGGGTTGGAAGGGCACGGTAGACAGGCCGGGACCGTGGTTGGGAGGTGCGAGCATCCCGAGGCCTCGATGGAGGAGTCCGATGTCAAACAGCGGTGATGATAGAGGAGGCGGGGAAAATCGGTGACAGGCTGTCGGTGCAACATGGGCGAGAGGGAAAAACAGAAAACTAGGGAAAAAGAAAAACAAGGTGGGTTTCTAGAACGGGGCCCAGATGCACCGTGTGTTCTGGCTTTGCCTTGTGCGGGTGTGTGTCTGTGGCCCATCAGCTGTGCCTTCCAGGCCGCCTGGCAGCACCGTAGCGCACTTCAAGCAGTTTGCGCCTTGCCATGGGTGGTGACGGTGACTTCCACTGCTGTGTGTTGTGACTTGTGAGGTTGGTGGTTGCGGTGCATGGTGGACTCAACGCATGGATGCTCTGCGGTGCAGCAGTCCATGCCATGACTGTTTTCTGGGGCCCTGGGGGCAGTGGATTGAGCCAGCAAAAAGTCGCATCCAGAAAAATTCCAGATTGAGAATGGGCGGAGGCTGCATCCACCATCCACTCATCCACAGGCCGGCGAGGACGAATCAGTGTGGAGGAAAGCGTCCGGGACAAGAGTTGCGGTCTGAGGCATCCCGCGTAGTTTCAGGGTTTCTGCCGGCCATGGGTCTCCGACTCTCACAGGTTTCCTTTGCTCCTTTCCTTCCCTCCTCACCATCGGCCCAACTGACGGCACCGCGCGGTACCTACCGCCCAACCCCTGCCGTCATCCTCAGAGGTACGTACCCAAGTATCTTTTCTTCTGTCCAGGGCTGCGATTACCTTTCACCTACGGTTGACGGGACTCTTCCCCCGCCCAGCCCTTGCCTAGTGTGTTTGCAGAGGAGGAGCAGCAGCAGCCGGACACTCACCAGAGACGGGAAGACACGCACCGGAGAATCTGCCAGTTCTCATCGATGTTGTGTTGTTCGGTAGGTAAGCCGACCAGCCCAGTCAGTGATTGCAACCTCCGACTTTGCCTTGACTCTTGACCTGTACTGTACCCCCTTCGGAACAGTGATGTTGTATGAAGAGAAGCTGTGTTGTATCCGGCGACGGTCGATGGGACTTTCCCGTCATTCATCTTTCCCATCCAAGTTCCATGTATCCAGCCGTTGTATTTTTTCTGCCCCTTCCTCTATCCTCGCCGGGTCCTCCGCCTTTGGTCCTTGTGACGCTATGCTGGGACCTGCAGCCGGGTCGGATCCATTCCATTCCTCGCGTTGGCTGCTGAAGGAATCCATCCGCGGCGCGACGCCCCCCTCCCCAGAGTTCCCGATTTTCTTCTCGGCGGAGAGGAGAGGAGAGGAGGAGAAACGAAGCCCTTGGTCGTCGGTTCAACGCCTCGGTTGACAGAGACGACGCGGCCCATTACCCGGCGACACTCGAGAGGTGCGACTGGACGGTAAGTACTCCGTCCGTACTTACTGCCTGCGTAAGTATCCTACCGCAAACCTTTTGCAGAGGGCGGTTGGCTCCCCCGGAACTCAAAGGCAGAATCGGGTGAAGGCGCAAAAGCTTTGTCGCTGACTTACTCGGATGGGGCTCTCAACGACGCTTCTGATTGCTACGGACTGTCAGGAACGCTTCCGCGGTGCCATGAGCACCAAGGAGAACCAAGCTCCCTCAAGTCCCAGACCTGCCCATGTCTCTCTGTTGCCCGCCCATAAGACACGCTCTCAACTTGACCAGAAACATTTCTACCGGGATAGAGCCGGAAGACGGGAAGGAGAAATCAAAATTCGTCGGGGAAATAAAAAGACGACGAAGCAGGGCGGGAACGGAGGGAGGAAGAGATAATTTGCGCTGCTAGTCGTTCTGTTAATACTAATCGTTCAGGCCCAAAGACGACATACCTACCACGCCTGCCTGCCTACTGCCAAAGGCAATGTACCGTGAAGCTAAAAGATCAGGCATGGCCGTTGGGCAGACACATCAGGGTCGCCCCTTCCCATGTTGAGTCGTTTTATTTGCTTTTGTGGGATGTCCGTCTTCGATTTTTTCTGATTCCTTGGATCTTGTTCGCCCTGTGCCCTCCTTGCCTTACTCGTTTACATTGCATTCCCTTCCGCTCTCCGGGCCCCCTTCTGCGAAGGAAGGTTTCTTCGGCCTTTGTCACTGTGCCCACCGCGCGCAAAGCGAGAGCAAGGAGCTCGACTCCGGGCCTGTCAAAACCCATTGATTGTTTCTGCCGTTCCTTTGAAGGACGCCATTGGAAGGTTGGATGCGTTGGATTAAGTGTGTCATGTCCATGAGTAGGTAGGCACACAACAGTACGGATGCATAACACGTACAGAGTACACGCAGAACGGGGTGACGATGGGAATAGTGCATGCCCAAAAACAAATCGGACACAGAGTAATCAGATGGAACCTGAGGGAAGCCAGTTCTCTGTGTCTCTCCTCGCCTCAGTGACGGCAGCGGAGAATCTGTGCATTGCCTCTGCTTAACTGCGGTAATGTACGGTACCTGAGGCCGGAGACCAGGGCAGGTCAGTAACATGCCTATGTTGAGGTGGTCATGGATACTTTCATCCAAAACTGAGTACTTCCCTTCACGCAGTTGCAGAGGTTCCCAGGAACGGGGAGGCTGGTGAGCTTACCGTCATTCATCAGCAAAATGCATCCCTGTCACCATGTCGCGCTACCTGGCGCATGGGTCTCCTTCAGATGAGAAAGTACCTCTCCGTACGTACCGTCCGTACCTGGACCTTGGATGAGGTAGGTCTGGCCCCTTGCAAACAAGGCACTGGTCTCCGGCAGGTGCTTTTCGATTTTTTGGGCCGCTGAGGTCTCTGAGACTCGCTGGGCAGGTCGTAGTCGTCACACACTAAGAGCCCGCTCCTTACCGGCCGGTCCATCCCAGCACCGACCACCACCTCACCCTTTCCCCCCCCCAACTACCTGTAGCCTGTAGGTACAGCAAGCACACTCGCTGAGTTGCCGTCGCCAGTCACTCATGAGGTATCTTTCCGCTCAAAGTAGGTACGGCAATACTTCGAGTCACCTCCTCAACTCAGTGCTGGCTACAGCACACCACACCCGGCAAGCAAGCAAGCAGGGCAAGCACCTGCAGCCCGTGTTTTTGGCTTTGCACTGACCCGACTGCTTTACTGACCTCATTCCCGTCTGGTCTCCCGCTACCACCACTCATCCGTCTTCGTCTTCGTCTTTTACATCAGACACACACACACGCTCTTCTTCCGCCAACTTACACCACCTTCACCACTCTGGACTTCTTCCCCCAATCCCCTCATTTTTGAGCTTCTTACTCTTTCTCTGACAACACCCATATCATTTCACACCAGATCACTTTCTGTTACTTACTTCCACAAGTGTCCCCGTCAGACACATCCACAGCAGCCACCGAGCCAGCACCAGCACCAGCTTAGCCACTCGTCGACCACGAAACCTACCTCTCAGAGACAGACACACGACCGCGCATCCACCTCGCCTTCGTCCTCCAAGCACCGGCAGCCGTAGCCACCGCAAACGACGAATCCCAAGATCCCCAATAGGATCCCGCCTCGTCTATCCTGAATTCCATCCTATCCCACGTCGCATTGTCGAACACCATGATAGGCCTGCTTCCGAATTACGACTGCCGGCTCCCGTGTTAGAACCCACATTGGATTGGTATGAGGACTACCTTAGACGAGGCTCCATTCCCTTTGCTGTCTCACTTGGAAGTCCTCGGCCATGGAAAAGACATCCAGCACCACGAACGGGTCCTCTGACGCAAGCCAGTCACGATTAGAACCCCTAGAGACGTCTACCACTACTACTCCCTCCCAATCCACCACCCTCGAGCGCCAACCTTCCTCCAAGCAATCCTCGGCCACCACATCCCTAACTCCATCGCCATTCAATTCGAGAGATACCTCACCTACCCGTCAGACCGCCAAACCTACCGCCGCGACTACTCCCAAGACGACTGCTGGCCTACGCTCGCGCAAGAGCAGCAGCCAAGACTTGACCGCGGTTCGAACCCCCAGATCCACCACCAGCATACCCGGCCCGCCGACATCGTCAAGGACCCTCTCCGCCGCCACAACCCCTACACTCCTCCCACACTCTCAAGAATCATTTCTCAAATCAATCAACCCGCAAAAGACGCCGCTCAACACCGAAGTTGCCCAAACACGAGATAGCCCTCGCTGGCCTGTGTCGCCTCGCTTGCGCTCCCCCCCTCCGCAGCTTGGGAAGCCTCAGAATCCTCCTCCGCCACCACCACGTCGAGCAGAGCCGGAGCCTCCCAAGATAAACCTCACGAGAGCATCTCCTACCCCTCAATCCGAACCTTTCCCATCCGTATCCGAGAGCGAGACAGACGACTCTCAGCTCCAGTCTGGAGTGCGAACCCCGGTTACGGGCTGTGGATCCGCATTGGAAACGGTGCAAGAAGTGAGCTTACCGAACTCGCCCGGACAAATGGATTCCACGTTAGAGAAGGTCAACGAGAAGCTGGCCCACGAGGCAGCTGCCAGCGCCGACAACGTTACCCAAGTGGACCGAGCTGCCCGGTTAAGTCGAGGATCTCTGCACACTACAGACGGCGACACTGGCACAGTGAGAGTGCGGTCGCAAAGTACAGCTCCCGTGCCCACAGTCACGCGACAGTCCAGTGTACTGTCAAACAAGCAGGGCAAGAACAAGGCTTCTGGGGAGGGATCTGGTCTCATCGTCGAGACGGAGACCGTCTCTTCCATTCCCCAGGTGGCATTGGCACCTGCTGCCAAACTGGAACCCGGGACCGGTACACTGAGAGCGAAACCTAGCACGGAAACTATTCGACCCAAGAAAGAGAAGAAGAAGACCAGTCGGAAGCAGCCGACTGTGAACCCTGGAAATGGTAAGAGATCCCGTCCATAATTCAATTGCTCCTCTACGAAGCGACGCCATGCCTTGTTACCTTATGAAAAACCAACATGGTGGCATGGCAGGGCGACAGCTACCCGCTAAATGTCATTTAAAAAAAAAGCCTCGACGCTCTGTAGATCATCTTGAGCAGTTGGCTGACTTGCAAACGCTGTGTAGCATCATCAAAAGCAGATATTTTTGAGGCTAAAGTGGCCAGCGCCGTTGATGAGGCGAATACATCAGATTCTGAGGAGACATTCGTCTACGACTCCAACCCTCCTGATGTTGAAAGACGTCGGTATCACTCGCGAACACCCAGCGCTACCTCGATGATTAGCCAGGCCGACAGAGCCGGCGCCCTAGGCATGCGCTCAATCCACGAGGCTTTGCAGGTAAACACAGCCGCGGGGCTGAAGAAGAGCATGAAGTTCGTAAACACCTTCAACAGTAACGGCGCTGAAAGCTTAGGCGCCGACGACGATGGGAAGGGCAGTGGTAGAAGTGCGGGCGTCGGATCAGGAAGAGGCACAGGGAGACATCATCACCACAACCACTTCGGTCGCTGGGGTCGTCACCCTGGGAACACGCACCCCTCGCTCTTCGACAATGAATCTCTGTTTCCGAACGCGGCCCGATCTAAGATGTCGGCCAACAACTCGAGACAATCGTCAGGCCCTCCTAGTCCGAGAGTCGCGAGCTCAGCTAGAGGCGGTCCCCACGCTCTCGGAAAGCGGTCCTCGATTCAAATGGCCCGCTACGACGCTGATGATACGACAACTACCGGCGCAGACGACGAGCGCACCCCTCTACTCACATCTACGGTGCGATCTGCGCGTAGAACGCGCCGTCACCCCGCAAACCTGCGAAATCTCGAATCGCAGTCGTACAGGCAGCAGCCGTCATACTTGAACCGGTTCGCTGCTTGTCTGGTGGTAACCATGATGCTGTTGCTTGTTATCACCGGCGCAATTGGCTTCATGTTCGCTACCTCTCAACCACTGACGGACATTGAGCTTGTATCCATCAAGAACGTCCTGGCCAGCGATCCGGAGCTGATGTTTGACCTGACGGTCAAAGCTCATAACCCTAATATTGTGGTGGTATCAATCGACCAGGCAAATCTAGAAATTTTTGCTAAATCTCCTCACGCTGGTACCGATTTCGATTGGTGGAAGCGGCCGCATGGGGACGAGTTGGAAGACCCAGACGTGCATATTCGCGACGATCCTCCCGACGACCCGCCCGACGACGACGCCGCACCAAACATGCGTCTCGGCACAATCACCGAGTTCGACAGCCCGCTGTCCTTCGAAGGGTCCTTCTTCAACAAGGGCGTCTCAGCATCAACTGGCACCATGCGACTCCATCTCCCAGGCAACCACTCCGCTGGAGGTTCTGAGCGTTGGGGACGCATCATCCAGGACGAGTTCGATCTTATTGTGAAGGGTGTGGTGCGTTACTCCTTACCACTCAGCCAGCGAGTCCGCAGTGCGCCGATATCTGGCAGAACCACAGTCAAACCCAACTCTGCCAACGACCCATCTCTCCAGCCCAACATGACCTTACCCGGAGACCTACCAGAACTAGAGTCCTGATGGTCTTGACGGCGGTCGACACATTCGACCATTTCCTTTGTCACTTGTTCTGTATATTGAGCGTGCATGGCATGGCATTAGCATTTCAAGGGAAAAAAGTGGCGTTGAATGGTAATTTCCAGCAACAAGCGCTTTGGGACAAAGACAGACAAAAGCGACCTGTACATATCTCTTCGTTTCGCGAGCATCGCCAATCACGATGGCTCCTCTTTCAGCTGGCGTTCGTTCGGCCTTTGTTTGCGTTTATTTTCTCCTTTCGGATTACCACGTTTTGTGGGCCATCACATGTCCTCACTGGGCACACCTCAAGAAGCGCAGCGCACTCATTCAGTAACGGGACTTGTTCACTCGGGGTTAGGGGACTGGAATTTGCTTTTTATTCTTTTACTGTTATCACGGACTGGGAATCTTCTTCTTATGAGACGGCCTTTTGAACTCTGGGGGTTTTGCATTAGATGGGAAAAGTGGCAACTACTCTGTTGTAATTGTAACGAAGCTTTTGATGACCAACAGGAGAAACGGGAAGAAGAGTCAGGTCCACCCAACGAGGTGTGACCTCAAGAAAAGTTACATTCAACCAAGGCTACAGTGCTGTCGATGGACTGGTGATGGATGAGATTGGACGTCACATAGAATGCCTCACACGTCTCTAGCTGGATAGCGACGTGTCAGTGGGATAATTTTGCCTAGGCAGAGTCTCCTTTGCAGGAAGTAATGAATCCATGTTACCCGTAGTGATCTTCTCGGCGTGGTTCAGGAGCGAGACCACTAGATGTGTCTGCTGGATCAGCAGCCAGCCAACCTGGCAGATTGTGTGAACCGGTACCAAACTGACCGCCTTTACGGGTTCGAGCTCGAAGGAATGTTTTGTGGGTAAACAACACGACGTAACAAACATGGGGTTTGGGTTGCCGCGGGAGAGTGTCTTGTTGGTGTTCTCCGATCGGAGCGGTCCGGCTTGGGGCCCACATCGAAGCAACCCTCTATCTCGCAATTTTCTTTTCTTTTTCCTTTTTTCTTTTGCCACGCCTCTAGAATCTCTCCACGTCAAGCTAGCCGGTGACATGCCCCCCCTTCCATCCTTCCCTGTCCACTGCCAACTTTGTGTTTAATGATAAGGATCACGAGGAGGAGAACGAGTGAAGTGGTCCCCCGTTACAAGTTCCTCGTGATGACGATAATCTGCTTGTTCCCATGTCTACATGGAACTGGGTGAATGCCGGTGGTGGTGATTATGATTTGGATTGGGCATCAGTACAGACAGTCAGTCTCCTACTTGCCGGGAATCACCGCCAAGTCTCTTTCTTTCTGCCTGGGCCCTGGATACCGACCTACATCGTACACAGGTGGTAGGAGTATTGGGACCGCGCAAGGCGCCGGTTGAGCATCCACACGATCCACTTCGTCTTGAGCCCTTGCAAGCTCATTCGAGGAACATCGGGCAACTTGGCCGAGCGGTCTAAGGCGCCAGACTCAAGCGTCAGCTTGATCCTCATAGAGGATAGCATTCTGGTATCGAAAGATGCGTGAGTTCGAATCTCACAGTTGTCACATTTTTGTCGTTGTTTCAAGGTTGGACATGATGTTCTCCTCTGCTGATTGGGTATCTGTGTATGTATGCTTGCATTAATTATTTTTGGTCTTGTGTGGGCTTAGTTAGACGTTGCCCACCACGAATGAGGTTTGTGGCTTAGGTGTGGGAAGTGAGTCTGACAAACCTAAGCCAGGCAGCTGTTGATCCAACTTTTGGTTCTAGTTGATATTTACGGAAAGCCTATGAATCGATTGAGCGCCCGAAAATAATGTTGTGGGCGGCGGTGTCTGTGAGCGTTCTCGGATAAGCTTCGGGAAGCTTTTCCCAACGTCTGAAATAACGCAAGTAACTGTACAGATTGTGCCATTGACATTGCAAGAACCGAGTCATATAGCACGCAACAACACTTCTCACTTACTCTACATATCTCTCGTGTTCATCAAGTGTGATCTTTGCTTCCACCGCCATTCCAACTTCCTAGCCACCAGCAATGCCCGTCATCAACACCAAGGAGCCCGCCTCGGCCGTCGCCGCCGCCCTCAAGGCCGAGGCCAGCGAGGACAAGCCTGCCTACCTTGTCGTCTACGCCTCGCACCGTAACGGCAAGTCGTGGTGCCCCGACTGCACGGCGGCGGAGCCGTACATTGAGAAGAAGTTTGCCGGGGATGAGGGTACCGTCAGGGTTGTCTACGCGGGGTTGCCCGAGGAGTGAGTTTTTCTCCCCGTTCCCGCGGTTTGCTTGTTTGCAAAGGTCCTTTTTGCGAAATATCAATAATATGCAGCCGCGGGATTGGACTTGGATAATTGCTAATTTTGATTTCAGGTGGAGGACCAAGGAGAACCCGTGGAGACAGGAGCCGTTCAACGTGACAAACCTGCCTACCTTGATCAAGGTCTCTGGCGAGAAGGTGAGTTTGATTCGCTGCCCGTTGTAACTCGGGTTTGGCTCAAAGAGTCATGGCTGCTGACATGTGACTCTACCAGAAATGGGAGAAGCTTGTTGAGGCAGACGTCTACAACCAGAAGAAGCTTGACGCCTTTGTCAGCCGCTTGTAAATCCCATACGCAGAAGAATGAGTAACATGACTATCCAAAGTTGAAAGCGCCAAATGACCAAGCCTTGTTTCTTCCGGTCCCCCGTTGAATCGTGCTTATCTCATCTCATCACAAGGGGAATGTGTGTGATTTTACGGAGATTTTCGGTCTCGGGATGGAAGTCCAAATTGAGTGGTCTATGCATGGAAATAAGGGGTCCTGAGGGGAGAAAAACGTGGCTGGTGGGGGAGATGATGATTATGCGGGAAAAGAGGCCGCCTGGTTTTCAATGAGCTGCTCTTGAGGTCTCGTGTTGGACGAGGATGAAGCCTGTCTTGAGTCGCGAAACGGACGGGTTTCATGAGGTCTAGACGCGTGTTCGTGGGCGGAAGGCAGTGCGTATTTCTCAGCGGCCGAGTCAGAGACGTCTCAACAAGATGGGAAAGCTTGATGTCTACCAGAATGTTCTGCGAAAGGGTATCAATTTGCCGTCGGACAAAGAAATTTGAATTCGATGAATTCTGACTCAAGTGAATTGAGTGTGAAGGCAGCAAATGATGCTTAGCAGGCCGTCTGCGCGAGGCCGTGGCATATTCCTGGAGCAAGAATTGCTCATGTTTTGACAAACACTTTGGACGGTCTTTCACATGACCACAACTGAGGATTGCGTATAGTAGCACTCGGATGGACTTTATTACCTCCCCTAAAGCGATTTGACTGAAGTGAAAACCTGGGATGGCATGCCGGAAGGAGCGGTAATGCCATGAGATCTTCTGGCACGCCATGAGAGGATGTGCTCATCGACGGCCTGGTGGAAAAAGATGCTCTTGAAATAAGACCGCGATGGCTTTACATGGCTTGGAGTCTTCCCTTTTGTCAACCTGTGCTGTTGAAACGATCATGTTGGCCTCAGACCGCCGCTTATCTTTCATATAGACAGACGTACTGTCTGATGGCTGAAAGAAATTTGAAACTGTGAATCAAGAAACGAGGGAGACGACGACGAAGGCGACGACGATGGAGATAACGAGACATCGAGGTACAGTCGCCGTAGAACGATAGCAGTCCCTGTTCTCTTGCGTATATACTGTGAGTGCTGCTGACATGACAAGCCTCAATGCTGAAGACGCAACTCAAGTGGGTAGTCAGAGCGAGTAACTGGCCATAAAGACATTAGTACCTATAGGCCGATGGACCAACAACGATTCCGTAAACACTGATAGCCGCAAATATCTCCATCGAAGTCGTGGATCGTAGAACCTGCTAGAGCCTTCGCCACGTCATACACGCCCTGAGAACATGACAAGACTCTGCAGATAGCCTTCTCCCTTGCAGCATCTGAGGGAAGAGTCGTGCACTCCAAGACCCAGACCTTGGATCTCCTGTCATCCCAATCATCGAAAGCTATCCAACTCTAAACCGACTCAGGCTGAGTCCAACGACCTTCATCTGAAGACGGCCCTCCTTCTTTCGCGGCTATTCTTAGGTTCTTCGCCGCCACAGTCCACCACTATCCGTGATTTCCAGGCAAACATGACGTACACAAGCACGACAATCATAGAGCAACTTGGAATCGCATAGCTAACATCAAACCATCTCTGCATTACTCATGTATCTATCCAACATTACGCCTCTTCAGCGAATGCCATGGGATTTGGCAAACCCGCAAGGCTAAACTATGCAAAGACGCCCGTCATCAAGTAGTCTCAGCATACTGTCATGCTGTTTTGTTCATGAACACCGTTGGAAACACATATCCCTCGTCTTCCTATGCTTCAATTCGTCCCTCATGCACAGGCTCGAGAGCCAAACAAACATGTCTTGCCTCCTCCCCCCTCTTTCAAAAAAAGAACTGATGAATAGATATAGTGGGTTTTAAAGAATAAGTACCTGGCCATATGAAAGCAAGAGCACCTCTGCCAAAAAAACAGAAACAGAAAAACAAGATGCTTGGGACGGGGCGCTGTCTTCGTCTCGTACAACTAAACTGCAATGCCACCAGACCTTTAATGATGTGCGTCCGCAAAGCCAAGTAAAAAAGCTAGTGCCATATGAAGGACCCAAACGACAAAAGAGTTCCAGCGTTCCCGCGAAAGAGAAGGGGTATCCCGTCTGTCTTTTTCTGTATCCAACGATGCCAAAGTTTTTCGCCCGGTTGTGTAGAAAGATGGATGCGAATGTGCCAAAGCATAAGGGAGAAGTCATAAACATAACGGCGTAATCATGTTGCGGCGATTACTCGGGGATCGGGTCGCTGTTGGCGGCCGCGTTCTCATCCTTCTTGCCCCAGCCGGAGGCCCAGCCCATCCAGCTGGATCGCTTGTTGTTCTCCTGCTTGGCCTCGGAGTTCTCCTGCACCAGACGCAGAGGTCGGGGCTTGTTACCGCCGGCGAACGTGGTCTGCTTCTCGTGGTGGGAGCGCGGGGGCGACTGCGAAGGGGGCGTGGTGATGTCACCCGAGTCGCCGCTCATGCTCGAGGTCTCGCTGCGCATGCCGGGGAAGTTACCCGCCGTAGGCGCCTGCTGGCCGCTCGGAGCCCGCGCCGCCGCGTTGGGGTTGCCGTTGAAAAAAGTTTGCGATGTTCGTGGGGTGCGCGGGGAGCCAAGGGGCGGTGAAATGGGCCCGTCCCCCGGACCCTTGTACATCTGGCTGACGAGGTTCACGCCGGTGAATTGCTCGCTCATCGGACGGGAGCGGCGAGTGCTGGAGGAGCGGGTCAAGTTGCCGATAGGAATGCGAGGCGCTGTCTCCGGATCGGTGTGCGCTGAGTTCGCTGGCGTAGCCGAAGGCATGTAAGACATGGGCCTCGGCTTGGGCTTGTTCGGGCCGACGGCCATGGTTTTGGCGCGCTGCAGGAGCGAGGCTCCGGATGCAGGCGGGAGCGGGAGTTCTTTGTTGGTGTTGGCCGCGGCAGGCTTGGGCTCGCTCGATGTGTCGAGAATGTGCTCGAAGTCCTGGTGCTGCAGAAGTCTCTCGATGATCTTGTTAATGTAGAGCGTCAACGCCTTGTTCTGGTCCTTCATGCCCTTGAGCTCAGACTCGAGGCGGCGGACATGCTCGTTGTTATTATCGGACGTGCTGTCTGAAGCCTCGGACAGCTCGTCGGCCAAGCTTGCGCCGCCAGAACGGCCCTCGAGGGCATTGAGAGCATCCTGGTTGGCAGAGACACCCATGTAGCTGAAGTCGTTCTTAGAGAAATCACCATTCAGGGTCTTCTCCTGCAGGAGCAGCTGGTAGCTCTCGTTGTCCTCCATAAGGCGGGCGTTTGCCATGCGGGCTTCCATTAGTAGCCGTTCCACCTCCTGCAGCCTCCCGCCACCCTGGTTCTCGGATTCGACCAGCTTGATCTGGGCCTCGGCAAGTTCGAGGCGCAAAGACTCAATGAGCTTGTCCTTCTGGAGAATCAACTTGGAGTTGTTCCGCGAGTCGCTGCGGTTGAGGGAGGAAGGTGGTGCAAAGCTTCCGTTGTCAACGTTGGGTGACGTCGCCGCTGCTGCTTGATGTTAGTAACAAGGCATTGAGATGGACATGATGAAACACCTACATTGCCTTGAGGACCTGCTGCCCTCCTCGTCGTTCATTCTTTGCGACAGGGTGTCCTTCAGCCTCTGGATGATGGTCTGCATCTCCTCCTCCCTGTTGTTGAACTCTTCCTTCTCCTTGTTCATAGAACTCCTCTCGGCCTCGTAGATGGTCTCCATCTCGCGCATCTGCCTCGCGTTTTCTCTCTTCTCGTTGCGCAGGGTCTCGATTTGTTCCTCGGTCTCGTGCACCTTCTCTTCCAGCTTTGCAGACTCCTTGAGCGCATCATCCAACCTCGTCTGCAGTACTTCGGCCTGTTTCCTGTACTGCTCGGAGGAGATTTCGGCCTTGGAGAGGCGCTCCTTGAGGTCGTCAAGCAGCGCAACGGTTTCGGCCCTAGCAGCTTCCTCGGCGTCGGTGTTGCTGGTGTCGGGAGCAGTAATGTTGGGGGTGCTCATGGTTGAGCCTCTCCTGGCATGGGCGGCCACACGAGCAGAGACGGGGGTTGTGGTGCGAGGGGGACCTCTGCGCGGAGCTGAAGTAGCGGTCGGGGTGGACGATCTCGAGGGGGTTCTCGCAGGAGAAGAAGAGGGCGAGGCTGAGTCGGTAGAAGAGACTCTACCGACACCGCCGGCGGGCGGCTTCTTTGCAGTGGCAGCTGACATTATTGTCGCGGCGGGCTTTGTTTGTGGCGATGGTGTTGTTGTGTTCTAGTCGCGGCGGAGGTAACCTGGGGAAACGGGAGCGGGGGAATCGCCCTTCTTTTTTTTGGTCGAGGTCGAGGGGGATAAGGCCAAGCACTGCGGTGTGTGCAGTGAGCCGTGTGGGTGCGGGTTATTTCTGTAGTGACGATGTTTCGTTCCAGAGGAAACAATCTACCTCAGCAGAATGTTGTAATGGCTTATTCTTGGACCAAGTGGCGTAGTGGGAGGAGGGACAAGACGGAGGGGAGTCGGTCTTGTTGTCGATCGTTGGGCCCCAGAAGTCAGAAATGGAATGCGAAAGTGTGCTGTGCTGTGCAACGCAGGTGCCAGTGAAGAGGGCCAAGTAGTAGGAGTGCGGTGCAGAAAAGAGGGTGTGCGGCAGCAGCTGTGCAAGCTTAAGTCGTCGGGTGTCAGACAGTCAGCCCCGGTCAGGTAAGGTACCTGCGGTTTGTACTCTGTATCTGCTCTGCTCGCCTGTCTCCTCCGTGTACGGGCAGCAAGCAAATCCACAAGTCGGATGCGTTTTGTCGGTGACGGTGACGGTTGTCCAGTCACTGTCCAGACCGCAGGGACTGTCTCCAGCGAATTTCCGATATATCGGGGGGCGTCTCCAGGGGTTTAATTCGCTAGGCCGTCGGGAATGGGAGGGCGTCGACCAACCAGCACTCGGGGAATAGCTCGACCTGAGAAACGATGCTTTTTTGTCTCCCGTCCAACTCCAGGCCGCTAATGTTGCGTTGCGTTGCGTTGCGTCTGAGTCTCTTCTCTTCCCGCTCAAACACTGAACCTCCTGC